ATATATATAAATATGTTTCCAAAATTTTAAAACTCTCTCTAAGAGACAGCTAGAACAAAGTAGTTTTTTTTATATGATCTTAGCTACAACTCGAAGAAATTATCCCAAAAAACGCAGTAGGTTGGCAACCCTAAATGAAGTGGATGAATCAGGTAAGTGACATTTTCAGTGATATTTATTAATCAGGTATAAAGTGGTCGCAGTAATGTGGGTAAATTGCACGTGGCAGAATTGCTTTTGTTTTCACTTTAATTTTGACCTCACAAATCCGCATTATTTTTTAGTATAGTTGCTTTGGTTAAAATGAGATAATGGTAACTAAAATGAGGCATATAATTATTAACCCTACTGTCTAATAAATGTAAAATTAAATAGTTCAGGTACCACTTTTTCTCTTCTTACCATGATTTTTGCCTTTCTGAAAATGTTACTTACCTGATTCATCCACTACGTTTCTCATCTTTGAAGGTTGATTCTTTTTTCGATGAACAAAGTTTTGACACAAAAGCAACAGTTTTAAGCGAATTGCAGTTTTTAAAAGCTTTTTACCACTCCTTTTTCTCTTCTTTCTTTGATGGTTTCAACAACAACCTTCTTAAAGAAATCCATTGCTTTCAGTGCTCCTATCCTGAGGTATATCTGCAATCGCCGGGGTATAAGACCTATAATAAAATTGCCAGTCATATTTCACAATATAAGCTATATATTCTTTTATTTCTTTGAGAAAAACAGTGATGAAATATTCTATATTTTCCGTAACCACTTATATTTTTGAAATATTACATATTTTACCTTTTTAACTATTAATCCAAAATATTCGCATATCATTGTGTATTTTTTAAAAATTAAAAAAAAAACGGTAAAGCTGTTATTATATTTCTAGAAATCTATTATAAATTAAATTCAGTTGAGTGAAATAAGCTCTCCACCGGAATAAATTAACTACATGAGTGAAAATATTTTGATATCATCGTAATGTATTTTAAAATCATCATCAGCATTGGCACGACTACCCTTTGTAAGCCTGGGCCTCCCTCAGAAGCTTTTCCCATTTTGCCCTTCTCCTAGCAACTGTTTTCCAGTTCTTTACTTTTAGGATGGCAAAATCCTCATCCACACAGTCCTTCCATCTCTTTTTGGGCCTTCCTCTTGGCCTTTTATTGGAGGGGGTTGCATTAGAGACTCTCAATGCTGTTCGTTCTGGGCTCATTCTCACTACATGCCCGACCCATTTCATTCTACTTAATTTAATAGATTTAATGATATCATCGCCATCAAAGATTCTATATATTTCAAAATTACATCTTTTCCTTCAGTTGTCGTTATCGAGTATAGGGCCAAAGATGGTTCGTAGGACCTTCCTTTCGAAGGTTGCTAATAACTTCTCTTCCCTTTTTGTTAAAGTCCATGTCGTATTTTAAAATGGTTATCAGTAATATCTTTGCTTTAGCATTAATTTTAAACATTTTGCTAGAAAAAAGATAGTTACAACAGCAGTTTAATCCATATATTGCAAAAGGGGAGGAATAGCATCATTTGCAATGTTGTGAAAAGTGTCTAGGTATGTTAATGTCATTAATCACTTAAGATTTTCAAAAATTCCTCATTCATATTATTATAGAGCGAAAATTATACCTAAGGGCCTCCCTGAAACCAATCTTTGCAGCTCCGCTAAACGCTCTGTAGCGTAGAGACAGTGGGTTTGAATCACACGGTAACTCTTAATGTATTATATAAACAGTTCTCGTTAGCTATATAAATGTGAATTAATAATTTTATTAAACTGAAAATTTACCATTTTTCAGTAATAAATTACAAAATTAGAAGAAAAGAGTAAAATTGATATGACCTGCAAAACCTGTAATTTTAAATTAGGTAATTTAGAAATGATTATAAATTAACATTAGAATTTTGTATATGCGTTAAAAGTGTATCCCAGCTTTCTCGAATGGGATGAGATTATGTTGACGAGAGAACATATTTCCAAGAATATTTTCACACGAAAATTTGGCAAGCGTGTGAGATTTCTAAGTAGAAGAATCCAAGCTTTCTAATTGGAAGAAAGAACATATTTCTCAATATATTTTTTGTTAGAATTTTGCAAGCGAGGGAAAAGTATATCCAAACTTTCTAATGAGAGGTGAGAAAGTTGATAACAGAACGTATTTTTTAAAAAAAATTTAAATTAGAATTTTTTTTCGTGTGCGAAATGCGTATCTGGGCTTTCCTATGAAATGAGAGAAAGCTGGTGAGAAAACATATTGCTTATGATATTTTCATAGTGTTCACGAATAGACCTATAAACTTACAATAAACCAATTCCCATTCTTTAAATTTATTATTTACATTAAATCATATTTGTTTACAATTTCCCCTTTTTTTCTCCGATAAATGAGTGTACGTAACGAAAATGATTGATAAATAACTCTTTATTCTAGTTATTCAGTATTATGTATTCAGTATTATTCAGCATTATACTTACTTAGTAAAATCATTCGGATAAGAGTGAAAGCCTGATTGCTTTCTTTAATCATTTTGACAAAAATATGGTCAGGATTGTTAAGAGAGTCTACTTTAGTTGCGAAAGCTGCAAGTGCTATGGCATCTGTCACAAATGCTCCAAATATCCTGCAAATATTTGACGTCATTCTTCTTGGGAACTTTCTAAATGCATGTCATGACTCAAAGATACACAAAAATAAGTTAAATGTGTTAACTTAGATGAATGTGTTAACGTACACGAATGAGTTCATTTGTACTCAGCACAAATATTTTATTAAGTACAATAGCAAGAATACTTTATTTTCTTTTGGATTCATAATTTTAGTTTTAGATCGTTTTTGTAGTTTAACATAATATTTCAAACCATATTTAATCTAACAAATTATACGGTCATATGTTGATTAACTTCCCTGTTATTAAATGACATTTAGTATAAATGTATAACTGTTGCTCAAATGAAAATTGGACGTACGGGCTAGTGCCAGAAATATGTTGACATTAATAATGACAATATTTGGTGTTGCAACGGACTGCATATTAACATGTAAGGTTAATGTTAAGCTGAGCTAAAGGGACACGATGAACAAAACAATGCTAGGTCATACGATATTTAAGGACACAATGAGATTGCAGAGGTAATCCTGAAATATGTTAACGGTAATAGTGACATTATTTGGTGTTACAATGGAGTGCGTAATGACAATTAAGCTAAATGTTAAGTTTAGCTAAAAGGATGAACAGAGCAATGCTAAGTTGTACGAGTTTTAAAGATACAAGGTGATTGGCCCATAACTTTACTCATATCAGAAAAATGCACGAAACGTAACTAACGATTTCATGCTATCTTTTCAGCAACAGCAGAAATAAGTTTACGGGAGATCATGACGTTTACTTGCCATGCGTCTTGGTTGCTCCGATATTAATGTACAGTCCGCAAAAAAAAAAAGA